TCCCTGCAGGATTAAGGTGTGACAGCAACCTTTGACTGATGGCGCCCTGCATATTAAAATAGCAGGACTACTGTCTCTTGTACTTTGTACAGCCACCACACTGTGTCAGTGTCAGAGAAAAATATGACACCAGTTGCCAGAACAAGTTGTATAAGCAGCTGTTACTGTTTTCGGGGCTGCTGATGTGATTTGGTTTGAATGTCCAGCTTTACTGTAGATCAGTGAAACTGTGAGGAGCAGGGCCAATGCAGGCGGGACGACCAGGTGAAAGATGTTGAATGAATATGACTTCCTGAGGGGATAAATAAGCAAACGGTGATATTGTGCTGGAGCTTTGTTAAAGTTGGATTCTTGTTTTTATCAATGACCGAAGGAGGGTCTTCCAGAAAACTTTGATGATGTCCTGTGAAGTATTTTGTTTGCGTTGCCTTTAAATCAAACCTTCACTAAAACTGGAGTTACTGCTTCTTCTTTTCTCTGTCTTCTTTTTGAGCTGCTTCTTCTTATACTTTTTATACTTTTTTTTCAGCTTTACTGGTGACAGTGTTAGCAAATGTTACCTTACCTTAGATTGTTAGACTTTATAACACATGTTCGACTGCCTGATCTGTAGTTCTGGACATTTCTAGACACATCAATGTATATGCACCCTATCTGCATTTTAGTGGACAATATTACTGGACAGTCTATAGTTAACGTGAACAAATTTACCTAATTTGCACGACATTTTTGCACAATTTTGGGTAGGAAGGTTTTACAGTGATGCTGAGGACCGGCTGTTCTGTGTGGCTTGTTGTGTCCTTCCTCTGTAGCTGTCTGGTGGGGAGTGCCACCTAGAGGTGGGGGTCAGTGAGGGTCAAGAGTGGAGTTATGTGACTTGTGCAGCAGAGGGACAACATGCAGTATGATTAATATATAACTTACTGTTTCACAAGCCTGTTATAGAATGGAACATATTTTAGTATTGATAGCTTTTCAGGATATTTAAGGTTTTTGGTAAAGGAGATCCAACTTGAAACCCAACTTGAAAAAGATGAAAAGGGAGGAGCAACTCCTGTGTGAATGTTGGCTGGGGGATTTGCCTCTTTATGGTCCTTGCTTTGCCATAAAAAGCATTAAATTGTTATTAACCATGTGCCTTGGAGATCAAATCCATCATTGTCTGGAAACGATAAAACACGATGCTCAAATATTCTTTTCATCGCTTTTCACTACGTCTTCAGGCATAAAAATGTCAAAGTGGAACGGCTTTTGAAACTGAGCAGTCACATTGTCTTTTAAAGGGCTCCAGCTTTTGTTTTTACTTGTTTCGACTAATGATATCTACTCAGTATCAGCTACCACAGGAGAGGATGAATATTTTTTTCTTGTGAATGAATCATTTATCTGATGAATCTCTTGATTGTTTAGTGTAAACGAAAGGATTCATGTAAAAGCAGACCTTATCAGCTAATTACTTGACAAGGACTCATTTTATTCTCCTTATCTGGCTGTCTGTTACCTCTCCAGTAGCGCTTTTGCTGTCTCGTTGCTCTCTCCTTCTTCTCTTCTTTCTCAAAAACTAACACTATTTTCAGAACCAAAATGATTATAATGTAACTTTAGCTCTCATTTTTTGATGTGATGATTAGATCATAAGCATGTTATTTATTATTTACATAGCATTAATTATTATTTGAACTCACCAAGCAGTATCAGATTATGTAAAGTGTTTCTTAAACTGTGGCAGCTCACATACTGGGGTGGTTTGGAAGCTGAGCATTGACTATATTGCTTCAGTAAAGTCCTGCTTTGGTTACTTTTATCATAAATTTAAAGACTATTGCAACATAATAGTATTCAGTTTAATTCGCTTTTAGTTATATAGTACCATACAACAACAACACTCACCTTAAGGTGCTTCATTTTGTAAGGTAATAATACAGAGAAAACCCCAGAAATTAGGTGACCCGCTATGAGCAAACACTTGGTGACAGCGGGAAGGAAAAACTCCCTTTTAACAGGAAGAACCCTCTGACAGAACCAGGCTCAGGGAGGGGTGTCGATCTGCAGTGACCGGTTGGGGGTGAATGGATAAAGACGAGGCAGAAGACTCATTGTGGAAGAGAGTCAGAGATTAATAATAACTAGCGATTAAATGCAAAGTGCTGTATAAACACAGAGAGGTGAATTAAGAAGAAACACTCTGTATGATGGTAAGTCCCCAGTAGCCTCGGCCTATTGCAGCATATCTAAGGGAGAGTTCAGGGTCGCCTGATCACCTTAACTATAAGCTTTCACAGCCATGCTAATTACAAATGGCCATGCTCCGCTGTTAGCATCAGTTAGTGTATCTTTATTAAATAAAGATGTGACTGTATGTTTAAAAAGTGTCAGAGAGACAAACCCAACAACTAGTCATGAAACTGATCTTTGTTTTGTCCGTCTAGGTGGAACTTTCTCCTGCTCCTGTCAGTATGCTCAGCAGCACTCTCTGGAGAAGATTACGTAGCTCAAGGTAAGCAACAGAACACTTCTGCATAACTAAAAGTCAGCATTTTTTTTTTATATGAAAGCATTTTATTAGATGCCCCCCCCCCCCCCCCCCTTTTTGTCACTAGGACATGTGACTCACTGACATTTGTCATATAGACAGTATAAAAGCTCCTGTCTGTATCCCACTCAAATCAATAACAGAAAAGTGATGCTATGTAACTCTTGCAGGGGCCCTATTGAAGCCGATCAGGTGTGAGCCAGGTTATTCACATTAAGTGAGTGGGGTGTCTGCTATTTATTGCATTCATGGCTTGTCAGTGACTCTGTTTTAACATTAGCCTCATGTTACCTGACATAAAAACCTCCTGACTGACATTTCAAATAAATTCCATGTTATATGGTGTGGAGATTTTAATTCTTGGGAGAAACACTGACATCATATTGGTACTTGGTGATGGCAGGTAGCCGGGTATATTTGGTCCTAAAACTAAAACGTCTGACTGATACATATCAAGACAGCATGTTACATATTGCATTGTGAGTTTAAAGTCATTAAGTACAAAACAAAACAAAACAAAACACAACAACTCGAATGTAAACTTTTATTTCAATGTAGGCCAGACACAGAATCGGCAGTGATTAGCACTCGCTAAGCAATTGACATTGCTGGATTCCCCCATTCAGTGCAGCAGCCCCAGTTCCTGATCAACTAGCTGGATAAAGAGTTGTTGAATCTTTTTATGGCTTGCACAGTAATAGTCAAAGAAGAAGTCCAGCAGCAGCTGCAGAAATGGGACCAAAATGCTAAAGAACAGAGGCAAGACAGAATGACAGAAACAGGAAACAAATGCAGAATATATAAACTGACACACAGCTGTTAAGAAAAAAGATTTTTCTTCCTATAGCCTTGAGGCGACAGTTGTGATGAATTAGTGCTATATAAATAAAATCAATTTGAATTGAACTGTTACTCAGAAAAATGTAAGTATCGTCAATAAATGAGCCATATACAAACCGATATATGATAACCGATATATACATATGCAAACTTTGGCGTCATTCTTCTCCTATTAACATATTTTTAAATGAAAAGAAACACGGTTACTATCAGAACACATAGACTAGGATTACATGCTTTTTTAAGTAGCGTATCTGTACATTTATACTGTAAGCATATCTTTCCTGGAAACGTCAGGAGCTAAGATGAAATAAAACCACTGGAAGTGGCTTAAATGCAGATCAAACTACTCATTCTTGTAATGCTTCCAGTAATTACATCAGCTGATGCCACAAACTCTTTAGGGATCCTAAAGAACTCGTTAACTGGGATCCTTCAGAACGGTTCCTACAGAACTCCTCTAATGTTTACGATGCCTTGTTCATAATACAGCTCAACCACATCACACCCTATTTCTGCTTTTATGTTGGAGCACATACAGTACATATAGGAACAGCGAGTGCACACAGGAATTCCTCTTTAGCTGCTCTTCTGATCACTTTTAACCTTCTTCCTTAACATGCCCACTCTTGCTCTCAGGGCCACGGCATGCATTTAAAAGCAGCATAAATAACTGCTGTACCTTTTGTTTCCTCCCTCTCTGTTTTTTCCCCTCCTGCTACATTTCTGACTATCAGTGCTCGCATCTCTGTGGTCCATCAATCAAAATACTAAATACACCCATAATGTAAAGTACATGGCAGAAATGCACATACAATGGGAGGAGGAAATCTTAGCTTGGCATGTTTTGGCAGCTGTGCCTCACCTGGTCAGCTGTTGGGGGTGAAGTGATATCCATCTTTATTTTTAAACAGAGCAACAATGATGAGAAGAATTGAAGGTGAGAAGAGCTGAAGTTAAAAGGTGATCATAGATAGAGTTGTTATTTTTTCTGGGCTCTGCTCTATCAGTGGATCTACATTGATTTGGGATCTTTTAACTATAATCTCATCTCTCACCCTGAGTCTGACTTTCTTGTAAGAGTAAAGTCTTGTTTAATTAGGCACCGAAGCAATAATATAAAAATATATCATATCCTGTGGTCTGTTCCACTATCTCAGTATTGTCTTATCTAAGGCTGACCTCATGATAAGTCCTCACATAGACTATTTATGTGCCTTGTCTACTGCCTCTTGCAGTGTCCCTCCCCTTATTCCATCATGCAACGCCATGTCCCCACGTATCACCCGTGATACGTGATGGCCCGCTCCAAGTAGAATCAATCCATCATAATGAGGGGAGGAGGAATGAACAGACAGTGCAAGAGCACCTTGTCTTAACGTATGAGACAGATTAATTGGGATCTCGTCTGACGTTACCTCAGGCAGTGAATGTGGAGGACATCACAGTGAGCGCTCGGATCGTCTGCAGACAGATACTCCTCCTATCAGAGCTGCATGACTAAAAATGCTGTGAAAGCACATTGTCTTTATCCCTATAGTCTTCTTTTCTTTACCTCTGCTCTGGCAACCAAACAGTATGACAGGAATGGGTTTCATCTGCTCCTTAACAGGTGTTAGAATGAGGTAAATACAAGCTGAGATAAACGACAGCACATGTCATATGAAACAAAATTAAAAATTAAGTGCACCCTGTGATTCAGGAGCTCAGTCTCTCATATCAGTGTGAAAGAACCTTGTTTACAATGTTGCTTCAGTTCCTTGTTTATTCTCTTTTATAGTCATATCATAACATTGATTTTTTTTCTTTTTCAGCCATTCTGTAGTGAGAAGATGAGATTATGTAGTTGCTCTGCCTTGCATCATTATTCTGTTGCACGACATAGTGTGAGGCAATATTGGGTTGTTAGGCAGTTGGCCTGCATTCGGCTCTAGAGTTCATGGTTGACTAAAAGAATAAGACAAGAACTTCATGGAAATCGAGGTTCCTGAACGTTCTTGTTTAGTTTTGGTAAATTAACTGTGTGTTAAGGCCAAACGATTGGTCCAGAAGTCTTGCGTTTTGTTCAGATGAAACTTTGGTTTTTAACCGGAAGACATTTTCTCCTTGAAACCATTCCAAGCGAGCCATATTTCTTCAGTCTTTTTCTAATTGTATTGTCATCAACTTTAAAATTTAACACACTAACCGAGGTCTATATAGTTTCTCTGTGCATTACACAGACTGACCTCTAGGAGTATTTATCCACTCCTGGGAAGATGGATTCCACACATTTGTTTGAAAATTACCTCAAGACCCTTCCCAGAATGATGTGCAGCAACAATTACTGATATATATATTTTAAACGTTTGGCTTTTTGCCTCTATTGGATAATAAACACAGATGAACTCAGGAAGAGAGAGAGGGGAAGACATGCGGCAAAGGGCCAAGGTCCGACTCAAACCTGCTGCTTTCTGGCCATGCAGCATGTGGATGCTCACGCACTTAGCTAAACTGGTGCACTGACTGTTGCTCATTTAAGATCTTTTCTGATGTCGTTCCTCTTTGGCAATGTGTTAACACACCTGAATGCTAAAGACCTACAAAGTGCCAAAACATCTGCTTTTCACAGAGGTGCTCACACTTGTTGCTGTTCAGATCATCAACTGCATCTGATTAGCGGCTCCTGGCTGCTATTAACCCTCTTAGTTCCTATGGAAACAGTGTACTTACTTCAGCATGCTGGCTTAGTTTTTGTTACATGAATAATAACGTGGTGTAATATATCATGTTTTATTGCTTTTCCAATACCTGCTAAGAACTGTCAAATTTTTATTATATCTTAAACCTTAGTGTTGAAAGAGGGTGCACTTTTTTTAAAACCTGACTACAACATTATGTTCAAACATTAAAAAAATATTATTTCCCTGCATCTACATATTCACACCTCTAGAGGTCAAATGCTCAGTTCAGGATTTTTGTATTTTTCTAACTCTTCACCAAAGTCTTTTTGATAGCAAGAATATAGAGCATGGAGTTATTAAGGGTATACACAATGTTCTGAAGGATGCACTTTATGTCTGTGTCTCCAGGCGTGTACTGATCCCACTTTTTCTCTCAGGAAATTGATTCTGATGCCTTTTCTATATGCCGAGTAGCAGCAAGCACAGACCCCAGTCTTCAGTTCTCTTTCAGACTAAAAAAAAGCTTATAACACCTTAAGAAGACAATACTATAATATGTGGACACTGGTTTAGTTTGTTTTTTGTTTCCACTCACAGTAATACTACATTAACTGGCCCGTCTATCAAGCTGGTATTCCCAAATACAGTGGAGTCGTTTCTTCAGTGGAACGTAGTTTGTCAAACTGCTGCTGAGATCTAAACACTGAACAAACGCTTCTGTGTGACTGCTGTCTTTGTCTGCCAGTGCAGAACAGATACCTCCATGCTTTCTCTTGCATGTACACAAATAAGTGAGGCCATCATTTGTAATTCAGTTGATATCTAAAGTTGAAATCTGTGTGCAGCATCCTTTAATCACAATCATGTACTGACATGTATGATCGCCAGTTTGCTGTTTTCTTGAATGCAAAGCTCGACAGAATGTGCTCTGTATGCAAGTTCAAAAAGGAGGAGGAGTTTCCTGTATTCTTTTAAATGTTTTTTAAAGTTTCCTGTATTCTGCTTACATGCTTATCTTGCCCCTGCTTCTCATCTGGGCTACAGCTGCATTTCTGTTGCTTGAAAAACATGGATTGGATCATTGGCATCATGCTGACATTGTTACATGGCCTTAATAGCTCACTAACTTTTCTTAGTCATTTAACTTCAAAAAGAAAATAACTCTTTTCCGGTCCCAGTTTGGGTTCAGTACAGGCAGTATCTCTAGTTAGGGCTGGATCAAATGACCCCAAAAGCATCTGTTAGTTCCGCTGCTGCAGGCTCTGGATGCTGGGACACTTCCAATGATGTGATAAGCACTTCTTCTCCAGTCCCTTCTTTTCACTCCTGATGCGTTTGTATGCCACTGCTGCAGTCATTAACTTGTCTCTCTTGTGTTTTAGCCTGATTATTTGGTCAAAAAAAATAACAGTTTTGTAATTATTTCATATTTAATGCCATCGAATTAAAATCTCTTGTCCATGAGCAACATGTTTAGGCATCTATAGAAGATTTTCATCATTTCATTTTTATTTGTGAATCTGTAAATGCGAATGCAAATATTTTTCTCAGTATTATTAAAAGAGAGAATTATCAAGGTTTGCATTCTTAAATAGTTTTGAAAGGAATAATATAAAAAAAAAGGCTGGCTGATATAGGACTTTTGGTATAGGACGATTTTTCGATATACTGGCCAATAGCATTTTTTTCCCTTTTTGTACTGACACACAAAGCATAAAAACGTTTTATTAACATTTGTTAAGTTAATTTTTATTCGTGCACACTCTGCCCAACTCTGCTCAGATCAGCTACCAACAGGGACGTTGCAGAGTGCCCCCTGGTGGTCAGATTACACAAAATCAGCACTGATAACGCGGTTAAAGACTCATCATCCCGTTTTTTCTTTACTTTTAGCCCGGCATCCAATTTAAGGGTTATGCCACAGCTGCCCTATATTAAAAGTTTTGGTAATTCCTTTATGTTTTTATGTAATGGTTTGTCTACTGCAAGCTTGAAAATATGTTTTTAATACTAAAATATAATTGTTGTTATCTCTGAACTTCCAAATTTACAGTTTTACAAAAAAACAGAAAAAAGTACTAAAGCAAAGTGTTACTTTTTGAAACATTTTTGTGATTTGTACATTTTCATAAAATTGCAATTCATTCTCAGCATATTAATCTTATAAGTATTTCTGTCTCTGTCCTTTAGGAGTGGATATCCTTTATCGATTGGGGCTTACAACTCAAAGCCACACAGACGATACCTACGAAAGGACAAGCTCACAGCCTCCCACTTATGCAAATGTTCCCGCACCTTTCGATGGCCCCTTTTCTGGATATGGGGTGTTGCTCGACTCAAACTCCCTCTATGAGGCGCCAGTGCCCACTCTATTCCCTTCAGAATTTGGCGAAGAGTTCTCCGTTATAGTTAGCCTAAGCTCCTGGCGAGCAAACAATGCATTTCTTTTTAGTATCAAGGACGGGAGGGACCGGTTGCGTTTTGGCATTCAGTTGCTGCCACGCAGAGTGGTGGTTTATACTGCAGAGAAAGCCTCCATCTACTTCAACTACAACTGGCAGGATGGGCGCCTGCACCCTTTTGCTGTTGGGGTTCGTGCACGTTCAGTGTCCTTCTATGCGAATTGTGGAGGGGTGCAGCAGTGGGAGCAAACCCTGGGGAGATCTCAAACACTGGGGGAATCTGGGGGTGTCTTCACTCTGGGAAGGATGAACTCCAAGGCGGCACCATTTAGTGGTCAAGTCTGCCAACTGGATATCTATCCCTCAGCCCAAGCTGCCGCGCACTACTGCAAATATCTTAAAAAACAGTGCCGGCTGGCCGACACTTACCGATTACATTTCCCCCATTCTGATTTGGATATTGTGGTGAATGACCCCCCTTCTAGCCATTTGACAAAGTCTCTTCTTGGAGTAGCAGCTACTCAAAATACACCCGTCGGATCTACAGCAGCCATTAAACTATCCCCAGATCGTTTGGTCATGCAGCATTCAACTCTGAGCCCACCAATACGACCTCATCTGGGGGACCAAGAAAACATTTCCACATTGAAACCATTATCCCACTCTGCCACATCATCACTCCAGCTTTATAGCCCCACCGTAACTACGCCAAGTAGTCAAGCAGCTCTGGGTTTTGCCTATAGCACAACAACCACCACTACCAAAAATGTGTTGGCTAAAGACACCACGCCCCAGGAGGACTCTGAAAACAGCACAGAAGAAGAGAGAAATTCCAGAAAACAGCCAAGTCCGGATGCCACTACAGGTGTTGTTTCCCTGGTCAGACAGAGCCAACTAAAGGAAGAACTCAGGAACAACTCCATCACAAGCTCTAGGGACTCTGGCTCCACAAGCCAAAATTTCCCAGAGACTCATCTGAGAGCCAACAGCACTACTTTGTACAGGGAGAATCAGGTGGACACCTCAGAGCAGCATGATTTGGATGGCAGCTATGATGACGTAGACATGGGAGAGTATGATTATGGATACGAGGAGCCAGAGTTCTTCTATGACTACCAAGATGGTTTACATGGCCCCAAAGGAGAGCCTGGTCCTCCGGTAAGTGACTGAATTTATGAATCACAAACAGAGAATTAGTGCTTATAGAGAGCACTGATGTGCAAACCAGTGCGTTGCTATGTATATTTTAGAGTAAAATTCCGAGTGAGCCACAATGTGGCTTGATTACACTCAGGAGACATGCAAAATGTTTTGGCTGTGAAATGTAGTGATTTAAAGGTGATGGCATGTCCAAGCAGTGTGCTTTCCCCCCCCTGTATCTACAAGTTGTTAAGTACTGCTAGGTATTTTTGCTCTTATGTCAGAGGATAAATCTTTGGAGGACTGGAGCTATACCCCGGGATTTAAAAAAAAAAAAGAAAAAAAAAAGCACTTGATCCAGGCCATGATGTAAGCTAGTGGCTCTGGACACACTTGTAGTTCATGAGTGTGGCTTATCTTTCCATGTGTGAGATGTGTTAGGCATTCTTGGTGCTCGGTATAAACATGTGAGTGTATAATGATGCAGAATGCCTGGATTCATCTTTCCGTACTTGCAGCGCCTGCAGACCTGTAGGGAGAGACACATCTTATCCAGCGTCGTTGTTTCAATTTATCTACATGTCCCAGAGCCTAATTGAGCTATACTGCGATATTTTGTCAAAATCACACTCCCATGCTGCTATACTTCATTCTCAATGATGTTTTGAGGGAAACATATTTTGTCCATATCATCTTCTCGCTCTCCTACCCTTGTTTCCTTTCAGGAGACCAAACATTAACCAAATGTTATGACTCTCGTACCCAAGAGAATGGATGAGAATCTTCTAACATGGTTAACATTGTCCCATGACTTGAGATGTGCTTCCAGTGTCCTGTCATGGAGAGAAACTAAAATTGCCTTAAAACAGAATTAAAGATGAACTTTAGTTCTATGGGAAAATCATTTTTGGAGGCATAATCGAGCATTGTGAACATGACACAGTTTAAGCCACAGGGCTTTTTCCAGCGGATCGTATTTTGGCAAAAATGTTTAATTAGCCACAATGTTTGTCCTTCGGTGCTGTTATCTTTGACAGTTTGTGTGTCTTGGCTACTCTGACCGCTTAGATGCAGGCATGTTTTGAATGCTGGGTCAGCTGAAGGTCAGTGGCTAGCTCTTTGTTTGAACTTGAAGACAAGCTGGCCTGTTTCCTCAAGGGAAGTGTTTCACAGTTTTTCAGCCACATAACTGGACGAGTACAGGTGGCCTCCTGCACTCTATTTAATTTGTGCTTTAGCATTTTTGCACTTTTTTTCATTAAGAAAATTCATAACAAGCAAAGAAGCAGCAGAAGAAAGCGTGTCTTACTTTCCCCTTTGTCTATAATATGATGTATATGATTTCTTTTACTCACAGTGACAAAAAAACCCAATTTAAAATGACTCACTGCTTCAATATTGGCCCAATTTAATGACACAACATTATGAGTAGGTTGACCCCACTGCAAAAGTCATGCCCAAGCTCTGACGACTGATGGGAGCTTATCATTTTTAGCGTTCACTGAAGTTTCAGAAGGAAACCAAGTTTTTCACTGACAATAAAAGCACTTTGAGAATATTAGGAGTTTCCAGTTATTTCAGTTTGAGTTGTGCAAGTTTGGACTACTCTGCTGTAGGGCTGCCACAAACGATTATTTTGATAGTCGACTAGTCACCGATTATTTTTGCGATTAGTCGACTAATCAGATCATGCGTCCATTGGACGTAAAACGTACGGCTTATTGCACCAGCAGTATCTGCTCTTATATAACTATCATTAGCTTACAGCTTTAAGTGTTTAAGGTATGTGCTAACTAAAAATAAAGACAAGATGATAGTTTATTAAATTTTAAT